GGTCTTGACCTAAATGCAGTTCGTCGTTGTAACAGACTTAAGCAGGAAAATGCTAATCTTCGATGGCCACTGGCACGCCAGAGAAGTGTGCTCTTCACGGATGAATCCCGGTTACAACTGTACCGGGCAGATGGCAGACAGCGTGTATGGCGTCGTCCGGGTGCGCGGTTTGCTGATGTCAACGTTGTGAACAGAGTGTCCCATGGTGGCGGTGGGGTTATGGTATGGGCAGGCATAAGCTACGGACAATGAACGAAATTTGAATGTACAGAGATACCGTGACGAGATCCTGACGCCAATTGTCGTGCCATTCATCCACCGCCATCACCTCATGTTTCAGCATGATAATGCACGGCCCCATGTCGCAAGGATCTGTACACAATTCCTGTAAGCTGAAAATGTCCCAGTTCTTCCGTGGCCTGCATACTCACCGAACATGTCACCCATTGAGCATGTTTGGGATGCTCTGGATCGACGTGTACGACAGCGTGTTCCAGTTCCCGGCAATATCCAGCATCTTCGCACAGCCATTGAAGAGGAGTGGGACAACATTCCACAGCCTGATCAACTCTATGCCAAGGATATGTCGCGCTGCATGAGGCAAATGGTCGTGACACCAGATCCTGGTTTTCTGATCCACGCCCCTACTTTATTTTTATTTTTTTATCTTTATTCTCAGTTATGTGAAATCCATAGATAAGGGCCTAATGAATTTATTAAAATGGACTGATTTCCTTATATGGACTGTAACTCAGTAAAATCTTTGAAATTGTTGCATGTTGCGTTTTATATTTTTGTTCAGTGTGTGTGTGTGTGTGTGTATGTGTATGTGTATGTGTATATATGTATACAGTACCAGTCCAAAGTTTGGACACACCTACTCATTCCAGGGTTTTTCTTTATTTTTACTATTTCCTACATTGTAGAATAAAAGTGAAGACATCAAAACTATGAAATAACACATATGGAATCATGTAGTAACCAAAAAAGTGTTAAACAAATCAAAATATATTTTATATTTGAGATTCTTCAAAGTAGCCACCCTTTGCCTTGATGACAGATTTGCACACACACAGTGTATTCGTAAAGTATTCAGACCCCTTAACTTTTTCCACATTTTGTTACGTTACGGCCTTATTCTAAAATTGATTAAATTGTTTTTTTTCCCATCAATCTACACACAATACCCCATAATGACGCAGCAAAAAACTGTTTTAAGAATTTTTAGCAAATGTATTCAAAATAAAAAATATTTCATTTACATAAGTGTTCAGACCCTTTACTCAGTACTTTGTTGAAGCACCTTTGGCAGCGATTACAGCCTTGAGGCTTCTTGGGTATGACGCTACAAGCTTGGCACACCTGTATTTGGGGAGTTTCTCCCATTCTTCTCTGCAGATCCTCTCAAGCTCTGGCAGGTTGGATGGGGAGCGTAGCTGCACGGCTATTTTCAGGTCTCTCCAGAGATGTTTGATCAGGATCAAATCCGGCCTCTGGCTGGGCCACTCAAGGACATTCAGAGACTTGTCCCGAAGCCACTCCTGCATTGTCTTGGCTGTGTGCTTTGGGTCGTTGTCCTGTTGGAAGGTGAACCTTCGCCCCAGTCAGGTCCTGAGCGCTCTGGAGCAGGTTTTCATCAAGGATCTCTCTGTACTTTGCTCCGTTCATCTTTCCCTCGATCCTGACTAGTCTCCCAGTCCCTGCCGCTGAAAAACATCCCCACAGCATGATGCTGCCACCACCGTGCTTCACTGTAGGGATGGTGCCAGGTTTCCTCCAGACGTGACTCTTGGCATTCAGGCCAAAGAGTTCAATCTTGGTTTCTTCAGACCAGAGAATCTTGTTTCTCATGGTCTGAGTCCTTTAGGTGCCTTTTGGCAAACTCCAAGCGGGCTGTCATGTGCCTTTTACTGAGGAGTGGCTTCCGTCTGGCCACTCTACCATAAAGGCCTGATTTAGTGGAGTGCTGCAGAGATGGTTATCCTACTGGAAGGTTCTCCCATCTCCACAGAGGACTCTGGAGCTCTGTCAGAGTGACCATCGGTGACCAAGGCCCTTCTCCCCCGATTGCTCAGTTTGGCCGGGCGGCCAGCTGTAGGAAGAGTCTTGGTGGTTCCAAATATCTTCCATTTAAAAATGATGGAGGACACTGTGTTCTTCGGGACAAGTTGTAGAAACATCTCAACGGTGATCAATGGAAACAGGATGCGCCTGAGCTCAATTTCGAGTCTCATAGCAAAGCGTCAGAATACTTATGTAAATAAGGTAGTTCTGTTTTTTATTTTTAATACATTTGCAAACATTTCTCCCCTATGGACTCGGGAGAGGCGAAGGTCAAGAGCCATGCGTCCATCGAAACACGACCCTACCAAGCCGCAGTGCTTCTTGACAAGCTGCTCGCTTAACCCGGAAGCCAGCCACACTGTGTCGGAGGAACACCGTCCAGCTGGCGACCGGCCCGCCACAAGGAGTCGCTAGAGCGCGATGGGACAAGAAAATCCCAGCCGGCCAAACCCTCCCCTAAACCGGACGACGCTGGGCCAATTGTGCGCTGCCTTATGGGTCTCCCGGTCACGGCCGGCTATTACAGCCTGAGATGCAGTGCCTTAGACCGCTGCGCCACTCGGGAGGCCCAAACGAATCAAAGTTAACAAGACTGACCAAAAGTTTTGTATTTATGCTACACATTTTATACAATATAAAAATCTGGACATTTCTTGGTTTCATTGTAGCCTAGACTAACAATATCAACTGATTTTGCTATTTTTATCAACAATGCAATTGATATAGGAATACATGTATTGTTTACCTATCAATACATTGACCCAGCATTCCTTGTCTTTTCAGTTTTGTTTCTGACCAGTCAATTTAGGCCATTAGAAAACCCAACTACCGACCATCCAGTGATGGGATTTATAAATAAATGATCTGGGCTCCCAAAAGGACTGATCTCTATAATATATTAACTTTTGTAAAACTATTATTCTAAGCTAGCTTTTAAAAAAGTATGGTCCACAGATCTAAGTGAATCTGAACAACCCTTTAACGGGAACAGAATATGGAAAAATATGACCTTGGGATCCCATAATCCAAATGATCAATTTATACATTTTAAGTGTGTTCAGACTAACACCAGGGAAACGTTTCATGAAATTGGCCCCAACTCCCAATTGTTCAGTCCCCCTAAATCAGGTAGGCACATTCCTTCATATGACGTGAGAGTGCCCTGCAGTTAAATGCATTGATTACTGTTGGAAGGCAGCACTGTCACAAAAAAAAAGATGTTGGCTCTTACTTACAGTATATGGCAATCACCTCACTCTTTCCCAATTCACCAGTGGATACAGTTACTATTAGAAGTTATAACCAAATTATCAACAGCGATAATGAATGGTGCTAGTCAAGGAACAAGTGAGGCCTGGACAAATATATTTGACTCTAAATAATAATCCTCCTCTCTGAGTGACAAAATGAATACAAATTCCCCCCTCAAAAAGGTACTGGTGTGTTTACGTGGTAATACATTAAATGTATAAATAAACCATTGTGGTCTGTTAAACTAGCCATGGTCACACATTTGACAATCACCTTGTAGATTTGCAAGTATTAGTTAAATAACATTTGGAAACTCACAAAGTGCTTTGCATATGCTGGTGTTTTATTACATGTATAAGAGAATCTACAAATTAAAGCAGGAGCGAGAAGTAGATCAATAGTGGGAATTATTCGCATGAAAAAGGTAATTTACTCTACTTTCCTGGTTTCAAACCCAAACCATTTCTTTTAAATCTATAATACTTCACAGCAGGGAAAGGATTAATAGAAATTCAGTTTTACATGAAAGTTCAAACTTTATTGCTTGTATAGTACGTTATGATCTTCCATAGGGCCCGTGAGTCAAACAGTATGGCCACACAGCCCCTTTTCACTGGAACGAGGTACTGCCGTTGAACAGAGCTGTACAACTTCAGGAGAAAACAACCAACGCTTAGAGGAAAGGACCTACACTAGGGGCACTATTCAATCTGTAAAACTGAAGCGTTAGATTCCGCAATGTAAATTTAAAGGTAATTTCCCCATTGAGCAGACATACGCAGCGTTTACCGTGAATGCAGTCTCCACTAAAGCGGGAACATTACATTTAAATCACACTGTAAAGCTGAACTTCTGCGTTACAGATTGAATAGAGCCCTAGGGTAGATAAACCTTCTTCCCCCTCCATACATATCAAATCTGAGACTAACAGCTATGCAATGTTGTACTAGCATTTTGTAAAGTGATTGTCTATCTTACTGGCTAGGTATTTCATCACTGGTTTCACTCACTTATAAAACATTGTACAAAATGATATCAACCAAGATAAGTTATTTATTTTTCTCCACGTGCAAAAGTTCTTCCACCAAGAACTAGACCAAGATGGCCGTCTTATCTGAATGTAACTGAATTTAAACATTATGGACAAAACTAGTCCTCTTACTTCTGACAGTCCAACAGTATTAACACTAATCAACAGACATCTCTCTCCTGGGTAGAAGGCATGGAGCCAGGGCAGGATAAAGATGTACAATAATAAAAATGTGCTCTTTATAAAAAATAATAATCTGAAACCAAAAAAAGTGGCAGGGAGAAACATTCTACTTTCCATTCAGACCACTTACAACAAGAGGGAAGGAAAATCAAAGGGCAGGTTGCTTGATGTCATAAGTGCCAAGGTGCATTTTTGTAGACTTTGCAAATGTTATATTCCCAGCATAAAAAAGGATGAACTGAATATTAAACATTTAAAAGGACCTATACAGGTTATAAACATCAGTGACAGGAGTATCAAAATCCAGCATACCAACCAGGCTGACTCTCAAGTCAACTCGTTCTCAAAACCTCAGGTGATCTTTTACAATGCTCTCCTCACTTCCCTATGATATTTGAGAAAGAGTTAAGGAGAGAGGACTTGAGGAATCAAGGAAAATACTTAATTCACCCACAAACATACAGAGGTTTCAGACCCTCCTATAGAACAGAAGATATGGGGTAGATGTGGAGCAGGTTTCTGGAGAACAGGCTCTCAGGAAGTCCTCCTCCTCAAACAGACGCACCTCAGAGTCGTCAAACAGCATCCACTTCCCTTCATACTGCAGCAGGCTGCTTAGGGCCTGCTCCGTAGCCACCCCAGCCCCCTCACACCCAGCCACAGAGGCCTCCTCGCCCCCCTCACCCTCCTTCTTAACCCCTCCACTACCGCTGTGTCCCGGGGCACTGGAGGTCCGTCTGGATGATCTGGTGGCAGTGCTCTCTGCCCCAGTAGAGGCAGCTTTGTCTGGGTTGGTTGTCTGCTTGTTGCCCCCTAGGTCATAGCTGGACAGGCTCCTTTGGCCCCCCAGGAGTCCCACCCCCTCTGAAGCCTTCTTGGAGCCCATCTTACTGGTGTTGGTGGTGCTAGCGGAGTTAGTATTCACAGCACCACTCTGTCCTGTTTTACCATGGAGACTGAAGGACACTTCCCCATCATCATAATCCAGCACCTCTTCTTTGGGTTGCGGACCGTGCACTTTCTCACCACACTCCTCTTCTACCTGCTTCTCATCCCCCTCGGGCAGGCAGACCTTGGTGTCCTTAAGGTCCATCATCCTGACGTAAGTGGTGTAGTGTCCGCTGGAGATGGTGACCCCGCTGTGCATGACCACAGCAAACAGCTGGTAGTGCTTCCCGCCGGTGGCAGTGGCTGAGGGGTGAGTGCACCACTCCTCCAGGGAGAGCTTCAGAGGGGTCTGTAGGGGGGTGTTCACCTTTGAGAGGCCACCGTACGGGTCCATCCTGAACAACAGAGGGAGTCAGTTTACACGTGCTGGGTAACATGATGGAGAGGTCCCTAATTTTCCTGAGATCTGCTTACCATGTGCCATTGTATTAATACGGTATTACATTCATGTGTTGTATCGGATTGTGTGGATTTTGATGTTGTGACAGACAGGCTCTGAGGAAACTATTACTAAAGACTCACTCTAACCCGTTGGCTGAGAAGCACTTGAGATGGATGGTGACGACCTCTGGGGTTTTATCAAACAGGAGACTCCTCTCAGCCTCTGTGTAGTGGTGGCAGGTCTCACAGAAGTACTTGTCCTCTCCTACAATCCTCTCCACTGAGGCAAACTGGGAGATGGCCCACTTCAGAGTCTTCAGCGCCGGTTTGGGATCAGGGGAGACTGGGGTTTGGGTGAGGTAGTTGGAACAGGAGAGGATAGACATTTGTGAGACAGCGTTGTGCTTCGGCTGATCTTTGACAGCTTGTTTGTGTGGTGACTGTTCATGTATGTGCCTTGTGTGTATAGTTCAGTCTAGCGCTGCAGAACTTGCCCTTTTATACAAGAACACCGTGTGAGTGTGTACACAACTCTCCTTACCCTCTGAGCTGCTGTCTGGGCTGCAGGGTTCTTCCTCCTGCACTGGGACACTGATGTCCTGGAAGTCTTCTCTCCTCTCAGTGTAACACTCACACTCCAGACAGCGTGTCCTCAACACCAGTCGGCCCTGGAACAGACGCTCCATCAAGTCCACACCCAGGCACTCTGGACAGGAGAGAGGGAGAGGGGACAGTCAGCGTTCAACATAATAACAGACAAAACAATGGCTAAAGCAAGGGCACAAAACCTGTGACAGACAGGACATGATCGATGACCAAGTTTGTTTCCAACAGCATGATTCAACAACTATAAACTCACCTTCACTTTTAGCTTTCTCCTCCCCAGGCACTTTTGTTACCTTCTCCTGAGGGTTCATCCCGCGTTCCCCACAATCATTCTCCTGAGGTTGGCTAGGACCTGTCTCCTCCTGGCCAGGTTTGGCCGTCTCCGTCTTCCCCCCTGTGTGGCAGCTGATCCGTCCCATGGTCATGAACTTAGAGAAGATACTGGGCTGCTTCCCTGAGGGCCTCAGCCAGCTCAGCTTGGGCCTCTTCTTCCTCTTCACCTCCGCCTCTTTAGGGGCCACCTCTACCTCTCCTTTCCCCTCCACGTCGCTTTCCTCCTTCTCTCCCTTATCTTCCTGCTTTTTCTCCCCCTCTTCTTCACCTTTGTCTTTTGGCGCTACAGTGATGCCACCGGAGAACTTCCTCTTGGAGCGGGTGAGGGGTTTGCCATCGTCGGCCACAACAGCATTCTTGGATTTGGGCTTCTTCTTGGCGTTGCCTGCCTCTGTATCGCTCTTCCTCTTACCACTGGTTTGGCCGTCATCGTCAAGGGATGTTTCTGAAGTTTTGGCCTGCTCCTCTGTTGAAGCGCCGTTGGTGCCCACAGGAGAGGCACTGTCTGGCTTGACCTCTATGACATCATTGTCCTGGTCACCCTCCTGTTCCTTCCTGATGGTCTCTGAGGCCTCCTGGATGTATCCCAGGATGCACTGCAGCACCTCCTGGGCATCATGCTGTAGGTAGCCCTCGTACATGGGGTTCAGCTGTCTGTAAACACACAACCATCAGTCAGTCAAATACAATACCAAACATCTTGTTCAAGGATGTTGAAACCCTGATTTGAGGAGGTTTTCTGTAAAGCTAAAACCCTGGTGTTCTATATCATCGCTCCACCCATAAACCACCATAATATCAGAATATTCTGCCTAATGAATGTGACCCAGTATTGCAGGGCCTTGCTGTAGTGCTGGGGTCTGACCTGAGTGTGTTTAGTAGTTTGCGTGGAGGTGTGGCCAGCTCCCCATCACTGTACTTGTCAGGGTTGTGCAGGTAGCTGGACTGGAGCTGCTCCACTGAGGTGATCAGACTGTGGAAACTACCCAGCAGTTCCATGTGCACCGGCACCGCCTCCTCTGGACTCTCCGTCTGCTGAGGAAGAAAGAGTGATTACTGTTATTATAGTATTCATATGCTCTACGTTCAAAAGATTTAAACACGCTAGTACAGGCAGCATTGACGACAGTGTAACTGAAGCACATGGTGACTGTAGTCTTAAAAACGCATCTCTATATTGGAAACATCATAGGGAACCTACAGTCTTGCTGGATTATAATAACCAGACACTATTTACGAAAAGCTCATGTATTTATTTAATATTCTGAGGGGTTAGCACCTTTATTGAGATGTGTGCTGGTATAAATGTATGCATGATTATGACCTTTAATCTCTGGATTGTAATTTGTGCATTGTAATGTTAATTGCGTTTACTGATGTGAAACTGACTCTCATTGGCTATTGCATGATGGGTAGTCCGATCTACTCCTAAGATTCAGTATTTTTGCAACGGAGGAAACTAGTTGCCGTAAGTTACTTCCGAGAACAAACTCTTGCATCTTTCACAGCTAACGAGAGAGAGGGCACAGCCAGGCAGGCATGTCAGCCACCAGGCAGACATTCAGAACCATGCATCGGTAATCAAAAGATGTATAGGCTATCGCAATGCTGTACCTAGGCAATTTCATGGCTTGCAATGTCTCGCGCAAGTTCACTAAAGTAGGGACTATAAATGAGTAGGATGAGCTATTCTACACGCAGCAGACTGAAGACCAGACACACACTAGTGTTTTTCATAGCAAAGAGAAAGAGCAGGCGAGCCAGCGAGGAACGGGGCAGACAGACTGTTGGAACCGTGCGCATAGGCTATAGCTTGGTAATCTGTATCTCGCAATGCCTTGTAAATTCACCAAAAGTATGTATGTATATATACAGTACCAGTCAAAAGTCTGGACACACCTACTCATTCAAGGGTTTTTCTTTATTTTTACTATTTTCTACATTGTTAGAATAATAGTGAAGACATCTAAACTATGAAATAACACATGGAATCATGTAGTAACCTAAAAAAGTTAAACAAATCAAAATATATTTCATATTTTAGATTCTTCAAAGTAGTCACACTTTGCCTTGATGACAGTTTTGCACACCCTCCTCTCGCTCCTGCTGGCTTTAGCAGATTCTGCCATTACTCTCCTGAAGTTGCCGGGAATAGACTACATGAGGAGTTGGCAACCTTTCTCATGTGGAATGCCAATTTTTCTTACCATTGATACTGATCTGCCATGTGCTTAATCAAGTCTATCCAAATGAAAATGATACAAACCTAAAAAGTAACTTCTATTGCCATTGTCAACTAGGCCTATGTAAAAATAGCCTACATAAAGCCAACAACTAAAAACATTCCAGGTGAAGCTGGTTGAGAGAATGCCAAGAGTGTGCAAAGCTGTCATCAAGGCAAAGGGTGGCTATTTGAAGAATCTCAAATATAAAATATATTTTGATTTGTTTAACATTTTTTTTTGGATACTACATGATTCCATATGTGTTATTTCATAGTTTTGATGTCTTCACTATTATTCTACAATGTAAAAAAATAGTTAAAATAAAGAAAAACCTTTGAATGAGTAGGTATGTCCAAACTTTTGACTGGTAGTGTACATACATTTGCTACTGTGACAATTTTAAAAAATAATTGGACGACTAACACCCTATTGACCAAACAATCAACCAGTTGACTAATTGGGGTCAGACCCTACAAAGGCTACACATTATTTTTTATTTTTTTCACACAACACAATGCCACAGATGTCTCAAGTTTTGAGGGAGCGTGTGATTGGCATGCTGACTGCAGGAATGTCCACAAGAGCTGTTGCCAGATAATTTAATGTTCCTTTCTCTACCAAAAGCCGCCTCCAACATCATTTTGAGAATTTGGCAGTACGTCCAACCGGCCTCACAACCGCAGACCAAGTGTAACCACACCAATCCAGGACCTCCACATCCGGCTTCTTCACATTTACATTTAAGTCATTTAGCAGACGCTCTTATCTAGAGCGACTTACAATTAGTGAGTGCATAAATTATTATTTTTTCTCCCCATACTGGCCCCCGTGGGAAACGAACCCACATCCCTGCCGGCCAAACCCTCCCCTACCTTGGACGACGCTGGACCAATTTTGCGCTGCCCATGGGTCTCCCGGTTGCGACAGAGCCTGGACTCGAACGAGGATCTCTAGTGGCACAGCTAGCACTGCGAGTAGCTGCCTTAGACCACTGCGCCACTCGGGATCGTCAGAGATCAGCCCCCCTGATAGCTGATGAAACTGTGGGTTTGCACAATCGAATAATTTCTGCACAAACTGTCAGGAACGGTCTCAGGGAAGCTCATCTGCGTGCTCGTCGTCCTCACCATCGTCTTGACCTGACTGCAGTTCGGCGTCGTTACCGACTTCAGTGGGCAAATGGTCACCATCGATGGCCACTGGCACGCTGGAGAAGTGTGCTTTTCACAGATTAATTCCGGTTTTAACAGTACCAGGCAGATAGCAGACAGCGTGTATGGCATCGTGTGAGCGAGCGGTTTGCTGATGTCAACGTTGTGAACAGTGCGCCCCATGGTGGCGGTGGGCTTATGGTATGGGCAGGCATAAGCTTCAGACAACGAACACAATTGCATTTTATCGATGGCAATTTGAACGCACAGAAAACATGACGAGATCCTGAGGCCCATTGTCGTGCCATTCATCCGCCGCCATCACCTCATGTTACAGCATGATAATGCACGGCCCCATGTCGCAAGGATCTGTACAATTCCTGGAAGCTTAAAATGTCCCAGTTCTTCCATGGCCTACATACTCAGACATGTCACCCATTGAGCATGTGATGCTCTGGATCAACGTGTACGACAGCGTTTTCCAGTTCCCACCAATATCCAGCAACTCCGAACAGCCATTGAAGAGGAGTGGGACAACATTCCACAATCAACAGCATGATCAACTCTATGCAAAGGAGAAGTGTCACGCTGCATGAGGTAAATGGTGGTCACCAGATACTGACTGGTTTTCTGATCCACGCCCCTACCTTTTCTTAAAAGGTACAGTATATCTGTGACCAACAGATGCATATCTGTATTCCCAGTCTTGTGAAATCCATAGATTTAGGGCCTAAAGAATTTAGTTAAAATGACTGATTTCCTTATATGAACTGTAACTCAATAAAATAGTTTAAATTGTTGCATGCTAGAGCTGCCCCGGTCAACAGTAAGTGCTGTTATTGTGAAGTGGAAATTTCTAGTAGCAACAACGGCTCAGCCGTGAAGGGGTAGGCCACACAAGCTCACAGAACGGGAAAGCCGAGTGCTGAAGAGCATAGCGCGTAAAAATTGTCTGTCCCCGGTTGCAACACTCACTACACAGTTCCAAACTGCCTCTGGAAGTAACGTCAGCACAATAACGGTTTGTCGGGAGCTTCATGAAATGGGTTTCCATGGCCGAGCGGCCGCACACAAGCCTAAAATCACCATGCGCAATGCCAAGTGTCAGCTGGAGTGGTATAAAGCTCAGCGCCATTGGACTCTGGAGCAGTGGAAATGTGTTCTCTGGAGTGATGAATCACGCTTCACCATCTGGCAGTCCGACGGACAAATCAGGGTTTGGCGGATGCCAGGAGAACGCTACCTGCCCCAATACATAGTGCCAACTGTAAAGTTTGGTGGAGGAGGAATAATAGTCTGGGGCTGTTTCAAGTCCCCGCAGCAATGTTCCAACATCTAGTGGAAAGCCTTCCCAGAAGAGTGGAGGCTGTTATAGCAGCAAAGGTAGGACCAACTCCATATTAATGCCCATGATTTTGGAATGAGATGTTCGACGAGCAGGTGTCCACATACACTACATGACCAAAAGTATCTTGATTTCCTTGCGTTTTTTTCTCCTCTCCATTATCGGCCTGTCTGCTCCTCCCCCCTCTTATCTGAGCAGAGCAGGCAGGCACGTTGCCCTAGCGACTCAACACAGACACAGCATGTACACATTCTGCTCCAGAGCCAGTACTATCCTTCCTTCAGACAAGCAAGCATCAAAACTTTGTTCATTTGCACAACGGCTCATTCACATTTGCTTGTAAATGTCCAAACTCACCAAAAATGACATTCGGTAGCTCCTACCTATATATGTATAACTTTATGAGCTGGATTGGCTATCTTTGCAATTTGTTTATTTTTGTTTGCGCTCCTTAGCATATTTAGCTAGCAGCCTCCATGGAAATTCGCTATTACTTGTGCTAATTTCGTTAGAATTCTGGTAACTGATGCCCAATGGGCCTTTTTGCGGGGGTTTTTTATGCCCCCTTGTGTACTAAACCAGTAAATCTTGGGATGAGAGAAGGACGGTATGACAATATGAAAATCTGGACCCTGCCCAATCCTAGTTCAGTGGTCTATTATTATCATCTAGACATGACGTTGAAATATCTTCACGGCTAGAATCAAAACCTCCTAGTTTTCGTCATGAGTCAATTTAATTTGAAAAAAATACGAATTACAGGGGGCAGTTTGGAAAAAACGAATCCTGTGTGAATCCTCTGGAATAACGCACATGCTTGGATAATAATTACATAACCAACGTCTTGTAATACCTGTCCGAATAGGGCTAAAACATGGCAAAGAATAGGCTTATCAAAGTAGAGTGCACCGCATCATCCCATGGGATCCGTCAAGGCTGCTGCGCACCGCAGAAATATCACTGAAATATTTGAGTTCCTACACATCACCTTCTTTATTCTAACAAAATAGGCCTTTTATTGGCTAAATTGATGAGCAAATGGGCAGCATCATGCTCATGTCGGTCTTCTTAAACTGAAATGTCGTCTTCCTAGTAGGACTGCAATAATTAGATGGTGTGCACATCCGTTTCAGAGTGTTTTGGGAGTCGAGCAAGAGTTAACTACTTCGACTCCAACCACAGGAGTAGACTCCAAAAATCCTGGAGTCGTCCACCATTAGTTTTAGGGAGACAGACAGGGAACAGGTCGACATGCTGCCAGATTTTTCAGGCATGATTGAATCTTGGGTTCTCTCTTGAACAAGCTAATATGATTCAGTTTGTTCTTTGTTGCTCTTTGACCAGTTTGTTATTTCTGTAAATATTGGGCGCCTGTTTATTCCTCACCTTTAATAAAAGCCTCACTGTGCAAGAAAAGTAAAGAACTGCTGTCTCCTCCTCACTGTTAAAATCCAACCGCATGGTCAACCTCACATTGTTGTACATAGGTAACATACCTCATCACTATTAGCAGCCTCTTCCTTTTGCTTGTCCCTTGTTTTGGACAAATTGTAGAGGTTCTTGATGCCATCTCTGAGCCCAGGACAGTAGTACAATACCTGGGTTGGTGATAAAGAAAAGTTTCATTTCTAAACTATTTAGTATGATAATAATGAGCCTACCTATACTGTTATCAAAATGTTGATGGCATGATGCAGCTGTTGAGAATGAAATACCACACCTGTAGAATACTGTTCAGGTAACAGGTGTTTCCCAGGTTATTGAGCCCAACAAAGGGCACCAGGGTCTCCTCTCCATTATCACTGGGGCGGATGGGAGAGGTTGGACACGGGGCATGTCCAGGCAGTGGGATTGGCACAACCTGGTCACAGCTAGAAAATAATGAATACAATGAAAGGTTCTCAAAACCATATTCCTAAGAACATCTGAGGAGATATTTAAAATAGTTGCCAATTCACACAGTACTTTAAATTGAGTGGGCGGTGCGAACAAGATGCTACCTCAGAAGGGATTTCCACAAAACATGATCATTAGAATAGCCACTCTAACTTCGCCCTCATGTGGGTGCTAGCAAGCAGGCTAGGTATCAACAGCCAATCCTGTATTGTCTGGAAGCTATAGTGAGCTTTGATTGCTCAATAGCGTCGCATTATTGGAACATTTGCTTAAAGTTCTGTTTCGGTCCCACACTGTTCAGCTCCCATCGCACACTTCACTTTCCTCCATTGAAATTGAACTGGGCTACGTTGTTTGATCACCCCCATCGTGTTGTGGAAATGCATTGTCAGCCTTTATTTTATCATTAGTTACCTGGTCAAAACTGTTACTCACCTTGCAGGATCCTCAGGTTCAACTGGGGCTGGTTTTGGTTCCTCTACTTGAGGTTCAGAGAAGTCCAATGCTCGCTTCGTATCCTTCTTCTGGAAAAACTTCAGAGATAGTTTGCTCTTTTTGATGGGGCTCCCAAGAGCCGCGCCATCGCCCTGTAGGCCGGGCATCTTCGACCGTCTTTAGTAATTTATGATACACAGCCAACACAACAGCGCTCCACACTGGCAACAGAGCGAAAGTGAGACTGGGTGAATTTCGTTATCAAGTTTGTGCTCCCTCCCTCTCAGATAGTTAACTGGCAAAAAGAAAAGTGAACAACGCTGATACTAACTTGTTTGTTGACTAGATAGACTACAGGACTAACTTCGTGGCAAATGCATTCAGTTCATCTAGCTAACTAAGTTAGCTAGCTCGCTGCTAGCACCAGATGGGTTGCCTAGCAGGCTAACTTAAGATAACCAAAATACAAAAGCTGAGCTGGTTGTCAATAACGTCGAGCTAACGAAGTAACGTTAGCTATTTACCAACACATGCCGTTTACAAAATTTGGTCATATGTAATTTCTAAGTTATAATTATCTAACTAACTACCATCATGTTAGCGTGCCAGCTAGCTAGCTAGCCATCTTGCTACGCAGTGAGTGAGGGGGGAAAAAAAGCGACAACACCGGGCGGTTTAGTTGTTAGCAAGGCCAGTTAACCAAAATATATCCAACCACTTTAGTTTACTCACCTTATTGAGTCATGTTATACTTTATTTTCGCTTTCTTCGATAGCTTATTCAATTTCATAGTCTATTTGGAAAACAATTTGATAAACCACGCAATGTGCGCAGAACTTGGCGCTTTTTCCGACCGCAAGACCCCAGCTGCACCCGAGCCTGCACGAGATCGTTACCATCAATAAAAAAAAATACAATACTGTTAGTAAAACGTTGCCAATATATATATATTTTTTAAACTTCCATCACTGATTTTAATTTTAGAAAGTGAAAACGAAGGACTGCAACAGGCATTTCTTGAGACAACATAGCACTAACCCATCAGTACCCGTGGGAGAAACACGGTCTTGGCTTCTTCTTCAGTGGGGTTTATCGGCGGTTGGCATCCAACGTTAGGGTGCATTACCGCCACCTACTGTACTGGAGTGTGGGCCAGAGACAGGGAGAAATTAAATCCTACCTGTCAACCCCGTTTCTCTTAAAAAAAGATAACAAAATATTTGAGACTATATCTAATGACGTTCTACTCAATATACTCTTTAAACTAATTTCCCGTATCCCCTTCTCCCTCATACTAGATCTCATCCTCTCTCTTTCCCTCTGATACTGCCCACACTGTAGCAATACATGCTCCACGGTCTCTATTTCCTGACAATAATCACACTTTCCTGATGGATCCTTTCCTATCACATTTACTGTTTTATTCAACTGGCTGTGTCCCACCCTTAATCTTGTAAAAAATAGCCTCCTCTCTTCTGTCCCTTCCTGCCGTCCTCCCCTCCCCGACTTTCCTCTGTACTTGAAATAAATGCCTTCCCTTATTATCTCTACTCCACTGCTCCTGCCATTTCTGCGCCATCACTGTATATATCAGTCTTTTTGCCTCTGCCTTGCTCATTGAAACTTCAACATCCCCACTACTAAGTGCTTGTTTAGCCGGTTCATCTACTGCCTCGTTCCCCTCCACCCCTACATGGGCTGGGACCCAAGTAAATCTTATCTGAATACCCATCTGTTTAATCCTGCCATGGGTTTGTAGCACCTCATAAAGCAGGTCTTGTCTGCTACGTGAGCTAAAGGACTGGAGACTCATTAACACTCAACATGAATCAGAGCAAATAACTACACTGTCTTGTTTGACTTCCTCCACCCACTGCAAGGCCAACAGTATGGCCATCAGCTCCGCCATATTTACAGCCAGATGATCCATAATACGTTTCCTGACTTCCACCCCACATTCCTGCACTACAAATGCTGACCCAGTACGTCCTGTCCTTGGATCTTTTAAACCATCTGCGTAAATGGCCACAAAATCCTGACAAACAGTTTCCAGGCGTCTCTTAAAGAAATCAGCTGGATCAACACCCTCCCTATCTTTCTGTAGTCTCTCCAACACTTCTAGATCAACTACTGGAGGCGGGAGTAGCCATGGTGGATTTACAGGAATAACTACCGTTGGACTAAACTCCCTTTCATACAGTCCCATCTCCGTCACACTGTCTTGGCTAGAAGGGATCCAGCTTTTGTCAAAAGTTGTTTTTTTGTGTGCATTTTAGCTAACCCTAACCCCTTTTCTAATCTTAACCTAAGTATCTTAACCTGCTACGAAAAGTCAAATCTGACGTTAATTTGACAAAAGCTAGATCCCTTCTAGCCAAGACCGTGAAACACCGTGTGCACACGGTGGTCATCATGGAGCAGCCATCTTTGGAGGGTCATCTAATGTTTTTGTATCATGCATGAACATTTTCTGGCTTTGTTGGTCTAAAAACAGTTGCTACATCAAAAATGTATACAACATAATTACATTACTCCCCCCTAAATCTATCAATATAATTGAAAGACTGGAGAGTGATGATCAGTGATCTCTGATCTATGGTGATGATTCCAGATCGAGGTACACTCCAGTACAAGATCTTAGCCAGCAGAGGGAAACCTTGGACATGTAAATAATATATCGCTCGTTTACCCTGAGAAATAGCCGTGCATCTCTTGCATCTTTGGAGCATATTTACCTTGTATCTTCCTTATGCAAATGCAATAATTAACGGTAAGACATATATCATATTTGTACCCGTTTTGTTGCAGTGGTTTTTCATGTAATAGAAAGTGGCTGAAATGTTTTCGCTATGTCAGATTGCTTTACGTAGGCTATAGGGAATATCCTCTATCATTTGATGTGATGGTGTAACCTATATCCCATCTATTGTAGGAAAGGGGATCCGTATGGTATTGCATCCATTCAATAATCCGTGACTATATGCTTTTCTATCTTGCACATTTATGTATCCCATGAAGATCCATGCGTTCAGTAGACTTTCAGACGATTATATGGTTATTATTGGCGAGCGCCAAAATAAATGACAGGTGTATATTCTGGTACCCTACTACAGATATCGAGCCCATTAGCACAAAACGGCTTGCGGATACTACCGAGCCAGTGTATTTGTCAATACAGAGCGGATAATGCATGCAGGGCATTGAGCTGCTGATGCGGTCCTTTGCCTGGTCAGCAGCCCGACGTCTTGATGGATGCTGAGCTGTGTGCGTCTTGGATAATCCATTCTGGTCGAGGCTGAGCGCGACCGAGTGATGTGATGCTCCAGCTCCAGAGCATACATGGGCTACTGCAGCCCCAGGCTCTGGTACGAAACCTGACAGATGAGATTATTCATGCGTTTATTTACCCAGTATAGCCTGGGCTACTGTAGCCTACATAACATTACTGGATATGTTCAATCAAATATAAAGGCATTAAGGCTATCAAGCAGATGATTGTGCAATAAATGTACCTCGATATGAGAGTATTTAATCTAATGCATGATGTTGTATACTAAATATAATTATTCTATTTATTCTATGGTTGTATAACTAGTCTGATAGTGGGCTAGGTATGCTATTGAAGGAGGTATAGCCTGCCTGGCCTGCTGATTCCAAGTCAGGTCTGTGGGTGGTATAGCAGCTAGAGTGGGATCATTAGGGGAAATGCATGGAGAGGGAGACATGGATAGAGGGATAGGGTAGTGCACTCCAAGAATGACAAGTATGTCCTGGAGCTGCCGAAATGAAACCCCCAGTGCTGTTTTTTCTAATTACAGTGGGGCTTAGCATTACATCCCCCTCCCCAGTCAAACACACACACACACACACACACACACACACTACAGTGAGTGCTCAGTCATACCCTCACAGACATTAGGAGCCGTGTAGGCTACATGCTCAGACTGTCCTGCTTTTTAAATCCCCCTTATTGTTTTGCTTTTTCATCAGTGGGTTTATTTTCCTCTCAGTCTTTAAGCAGCCACGCTGGCTTTCCTCAGTCCAGCTGCCTGCCCACTGTGTGTGTGTGATCTGACCCCCAGCACTCTCATTGGACCAGTGCTGAGGAAAGTGGGTGTGTCACCACCAGCTAGTCCGGCCCCCTCAGTGTTGTGAAGTACTTTGCCGTCCCGTATGTTAAGTCCTCTACATTCAACTCAATCGTTCCTGTTCCTCTGCTCCAGATGCTGAGTGTGAGGGAGAGATAGACACACACACACACACACACACACACACACACACACACACACACACACACACACACACACACACAGAGGACACTGACAGAGGACTGAGGCAGCACACTGGACTTCCATCAACACCTCTGAAGACAAAGAAAATAAGAGCCTTGATTAGAGGTGAGAAGATATGATAAAGATTACACTCTTTCTTCACTCATTTCTTTCTCTCAACCCTTTTCTTATCTCTGTGTGTTTTCTCAACTGGGATTCTTTCTCATTCTCCCTCATTCCTTCACTCTTCTTCTTTTCTCCTCTGTTTTGTTACTATCTCCGGTCCCGCCACTCTCCTTTCTTCCTGTCCTCCGATATCTTGTTTTATTCTCTCCTCTGTTCCTTGGGGGTTTTCAGACTTTCAGAATGTGGTTATAGGATGCCACACACACACACACACACACACACACACACACACACACACACACACACACACACACACACACACACACACACACACACACACACACACACACACACACACACACACAGCGAGAGAGAGAGAGTACACTCAGTGTAACCACTATGGTCTGTCTTCATGGGTCTATTAGAGCTCTTTACTGTCGCTGTATTCCATATTCTATCCCATTTGACGGTTGGCCGTGCCATGTTTTAGTTTAGAGTTCTGCTGGTCTGGCTAATATCTTACAGCTGGGGGTTCAGTCAGCCAACCAGGACAAGCATACAGGGGAATGGGGATGGATAGGGAGAGAGAGATAGAGAGAAAGAGAGAGACAGAAGTGGATATCGATCGAGAGAGAGAGAGAGAGATCATTGCACTAGGCTGGGCTTTAACGTGAGTGCATATTCGCTTGGCTGCTCTTCTATGGCCTGCATGTACGCACACAGCATTGCTCCTGACTCCTGCCTGGTCAGTGAGTCTGTGAGTGAGTGAGTGCATCGTCCATTGTTGGCTTCTCAGAGAGGGAACATTAAAGGCAAGGCGTTTACTTTGATCTGATCTCTGCCTAGCTGCCTCTGCTCTGTGGAGCCTGCCTGGAGCAGGGGGGCTGGCAGAGTGGAGCAGGGAATGGCAGAGAGTCTGCCTCTGCTCTGTGGAGCCTGCCTGGAGCAGGGGGGCTGGCAGAGTGGAGCAGGGAATGGCAGAGAGTCTGCCTCTTTGGAGAGCCGGTGTGTGTACTGTTGTTGTTTCTGTGTGTGTGGCTATTTTGGTCCTCGTGTGCAGTGTTTGTTTTTCTTTGAGTTCACCAGCAGGAGAGCTCTGTTAGTAGAGCTCACTGCTCTTAGTTAACTCCCCTCCCCAGGTCATGAAAAGGAGTGTGTTGTGTTGTTGGATTCTGCACAAACATCACACGGCTGCTACCCACCGTTGGCCAATGCCCTAGTCATTGTGTGTGTTTTAGGGTGATTCCCTTGGAGGTAGTGAGTCATCTGAACTGAAGCTGAGTCACAGTGCTTGAGACTGTAAATAGGTTAATTGGTTCACAGTACAGGCAGGTTGAACACTTAAACACTGTAATGTGTGTGTGTGGGGTGCAGAGGAACTAACTACCTGTTGGAAGTATGGACTTAGAAGTAGGGCTGGGCGGTATACCATATTTTACTATATACCGTTATTGATGCACGGTCCTGTTTAGGTTTTTACTTTACCTTCTAT